CCCGCCCCGGCAGGGCCACAGCCGCCCCAACATCGCGCCCCTATAGGCAGCCCCAGGCCCTGCCGGTGCCGGCGCCGGGGCGGCGAGCGTACGGGGGGGAGGAGGGAGGAGGAGGCAGGAAGCACAGGGCAGGGGAGGGGAGGAGGGAGGGAGATGAGGGGGAAGGAGGTGAGACGGACGGGAGAGAAGGATAGGGGAAGGGCAGGGGAAGGATAGGGGAAGGAGAGGAAGGACAGGGGAAGGATAGGGGGGAACGGAGGGAAGGGGGAGGGGGGGTGAGATCGGAGAAGGCGCGGGGGGAATGGAGGGAAGGGGGAGGAGGCAAGACTAAGGGGCGTCAACTGACAATGTCCCGCAGATGACGGCCAGGCTCGTCCTGGGCCTAGGGTAGGTGTGCAGGCGCGCCTGGCCTCGCCATCGCTCGGACGCCCTTTCCCCGTGAGTGTTTCGGCCCTCGCCGAAGAAAAATGCCCAAGGCGGCACACAGCACCAGTCCTGGGCGCCGGACTGGCCAGGGTCGGTGTGGTGGTCCGTGGATGTCCCCCGAGCGCAGCCAGGTCGCATAACAAGCGGGGAATTACCGGGGAGTTCCCAGGGAGTTCCTGGCACGGAATCAACATGACCCGGTAACGTACCCAACACTTTCGAAATATATGGCGCCTATAAGCATACACATTTACATGAGCACATACATACATACATACATACATACATACATACATACATACATGCATGCATGCATGCATGCAGACAGACAGACAGACAGACAGACAGACAGACAGACAGACAGACATGCACACACATACGTACATACACACATACACCCATACACACAGCACAAACAACCATACAAGCAAACACACGTACATACATGTATGCATATGTGCATACGGATATCCACACACATACATAGCTCAACATGTGCAGTGTGTACATTCTTTATGTATGTATGTATGCGTGTACGGATGCATGTGTGTACGTTTGCATGTATGTATGTACGTACGTGATTGTATGTATGTGTACATATAGACATACATACATGAATATGTATGTGTGCATGCATATATGGATGCATGCATGTATGTACGCATGCATGTATACGTGCATGTATGTATGAATGAACGGATGTATGTATGTATGTACGTATGTACGTACGTTTGTGTGTATGTACGTATAGATGGATGGGTAGGTGTATGTATGTACGTATTCCTGTTTTCACGCATAAATGTATGTATGCATGTATGCATATATGTGTGCTGGCATGGATGTATGTATGCATGTGTGGATATGTGTGCGTAGATATGTACATGTATAATAATGTATGTATGTGTATAAATGTATGTATGTGTGGATGTATGTATGTGTGTATGTATGTATGTATGCGTTCATGCATGACTGGCTGTATGCGTTGATGTGTGCATGTAAGCATGCATGCATGCATGCAAGTATCTACGCATGGCTGCATGTTTGTCTGTATGGCTGAATGTGCATACGTAGGTGTGTACACGCGCATGTACGTATGTACGGGTGGATGTACGTACGCATCGATGTGTACGGCTATAGGTACGCGTGTGTCTGTACGTATGAACGTATATACAAGTGGACGGATCGATGTACGTGTGTATGTTTGCATGCATGTCTGCATACATGCATGTCTGTATGTGTGCGTGCATGCCAATGTGTATGTATGCATGTGTTTGTAGGTAGATGAGTATGTGTATGTATGGATGCGTGGATACATGTGTATGTGTGTATGCGTGTACGTATGTGTGTATGCATGTATGTACACGTGTATGTGTAGGTATGTATTGTTGTATGCCTGGATATATAAATCTATGTATATGTAGATGTCTGATTACGTGAATGTATGCATACATTGATGCATGCACGCATGCGTGCGTGGATGCATGGCGGTATGTATGTTTGGTTGTATGTATGTGTATATGTATGTATGTATGTACGTATGGATGCATGTATGTATGTATGTACATACTGTTGTATCAATGTGTATGTATGCATGCATGTATGTATGGGTTTGTGGTTGTTTGTATGTGTGTATGTATGTACGTATGTGTGTATGTGTATGTATATATATATATATGTATGCATGTGTCGACGTATGTATGTATATGGCAACTCACTGCCAACAAATATGTTGAAACAATGGCAGTGCGCATTACCCCCAGAACTACGCAAGAAAACATGCAAGCATAAGCACGACAGAGTCGGAGACAGAAGCATGCGGAGGAGGGTGAAGGGGTGACAGGTGCGCACTTCGCAGCCACGCGGGGCGCCGCGAGGTCCCAACTGGGTCCGCGTACCACTCCACTCCGCTGGACCTCCCAGGAGCCCAAGAAAGTAACGACACATGCGCAATATGCGCAGCCACGCGGGGCGCAGCGAGGTCCCGACTGCGTCCGCGTACTACTCCACTCCGCTGGACCTCCCAGGAGTCCACGAAAGTGGCGATAGTTGCGCACGTCGCAGGCCCGCAGGGCACCGCGAGATCCCAACTGCGTCCGCGTACCATTCCACTCCGCTAAACCTCCAAGGAGCCTACGAAAGTGGCAATAGCTGCGCACTTCGCAGCCCTCCCGGGCCGCAAGCAGGACGAATGAGAGAAGGGAGAAACAAGACAAGGAAGACGAGACAGGAGGCAGGAAGTAGGAGGCAGGAGGGCGGAGGAGGAAGGAGGAGAGGCAGAAGACTCGACCAAAGTGTTCTATACAAAACGAAAACCCAATCAAGGAAGGATGTGAACAAGTAGATATTTCCGGAACTTTTGAATCTGAACTTTGCTCATTCTGAATTCCTGATCCTGGCATTTTGCAATTCTGACGTTTATCACCTGTGCCAAAATACCAGACTGGGCCATGGGGCGGTAGGTCGGGACCCCTCAACCAATCGTGAAATGTGACATCTAGATCTGGCATTGGACGCCGCTCCTTGCAAGCCAATGCTGCAATGCAGATGATGAAGGACCTGGTGCGGTCTGATGGCAGGCGGCCCGAGGGGGCACTGGTTGAGCAGGGACCGACCGTCCCGGCATTCCTATAGTCCTACCACGAAATGTTCTCAGAACCCAGAAATGTTCTAAGAAAAAATGTTCTTAGAACATATGCCCGATGATTTAAAAAAGGCAATATCAACCTGACATGTTCTAAAAACATTTCGAGGAAACCACACAAGGTTCTTACGTAGAACATTGTTTGGTAGGGCTATAGGCGAGCCAGGACGCTTCGCCAATGCTTGACCTGGGGCGCCTCCCTACCACCGAGCTGGACCAGAGGCCAGGGAAAGACTCTGACCGACGGGGGGGGCTCTGGGGCAATGGCGGGGGTGAGAGGGCGCTAGGGCGAGAGGGGGGCCCTCCTCCTCCTCCTCCTCCTCCTCATCCTCCTCCTCCCTGGGCCAGGATCGGGTGGAGGCGAGACGAGGGAAGGAGATCTGGAATATGAGGATGCGGACCCAGACCCCCGACGTCATGTTTTTCACAGCGTCGACCACTGGAGGTCTGGAACCCTTCACAAGGACCGGTTTCTCATCCCGGGTCGCTTTCTGACGGCCCCGAGGCCCGGCAAGGGCCCCAGGAGGCCGTGAATAGCGAAAAACCTCCCGTCGTGATGTTTTCACAACGCGAAGGGGTCTGGGGAGGAAGACGGACGACATGCAGGACAAGCAGGGGGATCATGCGCAGGACGGAAGCATCAGCAGGACGAGGAGGATGGGAAAGAGGAGTGGATCCTCCTCCTCCTCCTTCTCCTCCTCCTCCTCCTCCTCCTCCTCCTGCAGAGGAGGGGATGGGAGCTGCCTCGCGGGGAGCGCTGACGACGACGGTGCGGCGCCAGCCTTGACCGCCCAAGCGTCCGTGGGCTCGTCGGGCAGGCGCGCCATGCTGTTCCTCCCGGCGCGGCGCTGGGAGGCAGCCCTGACGTTCGCCGAGTTCGGGAGCCCACAGAGGGCGTGCGCCCCTCGATCCGCGAGACTGCCCGCTTAATACGAACATTTTTGCGCAATGCGTACTCTCGAAGCCAGCGTGGAATCATGTGCCTGTGCGTCCTTCTTCCGCTCCTGACGAGTGACCGGCGGACCCGAACGAAATTATCACGCGCCTGGTTGCCGTGAGATGAAAGGTGTCTCTCATACTCTCTCTCTCTCTCTCTATAAATATACATATAGATATGTCTCTCTCCATCTCTCTCTCTCCCTTTCCCCTCTCATCCTGTCTTCTGTCTCTGGACTCTCAGATCTGGTGTTCTTTTATGCTGTCTACTGGTGAGCTACAGCGTCAATCAAGAACAAGGTCGAGAGGATTCCAACGTCAGCACCTGGCCGCCCAAAATTGTCCTGGACAGCCAAGAGGACAGCCAAGACAGCCAGAGACATCTGGTAGACCCCTGAAGGCCCAACCAAAATGCCACCGAGACAGCCCCGACAAGCCAAGACGACCCACGAGGGTCCTCAGACGCTTCAAGATAACCCACGAGGGCCCCACGCACCCCACCAAGAGAGCCCAAAGCAGCTTCCGAGAGATCCCAAAACAACTTGTCAACAACTCAGAAGCCCCAAGAATCCCAAGGAGATTCCAAAACTGCCCAAAATGGCCCCTCGAGGCCCCAAGACACCCCCGAGATCATCCCGGAATGATCCAAAAGGACCGCCCCACGATGACCTCAAGACGAGCCGCAAAGGCTCGAAGGTCGTGCCCATCTGCTTCTACAAGTCTCCGAGGTAATGCGGTTGCAAAAAATGACGACAAAACTTTCGGGGCCAAGAACAATCCATGCATGAGCGGCCCAAGATCGCCGGAGACGCATCTCGCGACGCGCGACATCACGCGAATCGCAGAAGGCAGCACAGACCGAAACGCCGGCTGGTGGAGGGAGAAGAATAACAGATCTCTCGCCGCTGGGAGCGCTGTTCCCCTCGCCCCCTGCAGGGAGAGGAGGGGGGGTCCTCCCTCCACAATTCGGGGGCTGGAGTTCTCTCGGCGACCTCGGGCGCGCCTGGGCATCCGAGGCACAGCCGACGCGCGGCGACAGGACGAGGAACGGCTCGCAGACCGGCCTGGGGCCCGCTCCCCCGACAAGCCTCGCATGAGCTTCGAAGCCGCGGAGAAGGCTCCAAAAAATCCCGAGGGATCCTGCGCGACTCCACCACCGCCAGAAGCCTTGCAGCGGAGGGAGCCGCCGCCCGCCAGGGACGCGCGAGCGACACCTCGGAGAGCTGACGCCCGGCGCTGGAGGAACCCCTGTGATGAAGGACCACGTGCTTTGAAAGGCACCTCCCCCTCCCCCTCCTCCCCCTCCTCCCCCTCCTCCTCCTCCTCCTCCTCCTCCTCCTCCCCCTCCCCCTCCTCCTCCTCCTCCTCCTCCTCCTCCTCCTCCTCCTCCTCCTCCTCCTCCTCCTCCTCCCCCTTTTACTTGGAAAGGTCTCGTGCTGGACGATATCCAGCCCATCGGAATCCACAGGGACTCACGATGGCGTATTCTGGGCACCCCTCCCCTGAGGTCAGGAGTGAGTGGGCCCCGCTTTTCTCCGCCTGGTCCCGGGGCCTTCAGGGGCCCCCGAAAGCTCGGGAGGCCGCCAGGTCCAGCGGCCGTGTGCGCGAGGCTCCAGCGGCGGACCTGACGAGGGGCCTCGCGCTGATCGGCCTCGCCCGCGAGGATTTGGAGGCCCTGGGACGGGAGGTGGAGGCCAGGCGGGCGCGCGGGGAGGAACCTGAGGACGAGGATCTCCCCTGCGGCCTCGCCTAACTCGTTTGTTTGTTGTTTGCATGCCGAATGCGGTCGTACCATTCACGGTTGTGCGCTTCCTCCTCCTCCTCCTCCTCCTTCGCCTCCTCCTCCTCCTCCTCCTCCCCCTCCTCCTCCTCCTCCGCCTCCTCCTCCTCCTTCTCCTCCTCCCCCTCCTGTTCTCCTCCTCCTCCTCCTCCTCCTCCTCCTCCTCCTCCTCCTCCTCCTCCTCCTCCTCCTCCTCCTCCTCCTCCCCTCCCCCTCCCCCTCCTCCCTCTCGTTATCGTTCCAGCGCTGCGGACGGCTGCCGGGGCGGTTCTGGAAGGAACCCGGGAACCCGAGGCCGAGGCCTCCTCCTCTTTCCTCCTCCCGCCTCCTCCTCCTCCTCCTTCTTCTCCTCCTCCTCCTCGCCCTCCTCCTCCTCCTCCTCGTCCTCCTCCTCCTCCTCCTTGTCCTCCTCCTCCTCCTCCCTCTACCAAGCACGCGTCGAAGCTCTGCCAGCCCAGGCGGTCCTCGAGCCCGCTCTCGCGCCCTGAAGCAGCGTCACCCCCGGCTCCGAAGACCGCCTCGAGCTCGTCCTTGCGTCAGCGCTGCCAAGCCTGACGAAGGCAGCACACCCCAGAGATGCATCAAGAGATGCATGCACTTTGTGACCGCTCATTCCTGACTCTGTTCCGTCACTTGCTAGGGCAATGGTTGGCGGCGCCGACCTCAGCTTATGCCAACCACTGCTCGATTCGAAGACGAGCCCATCGATGGCTACAGAAGGCCGGGAGTGGTGGCACGAAATGCGGCCTTCGAGCCCCGCCCCTGGGGAAGCAGGAATGAACGATGCGCGTGCCGCTGTCATGGGCTCGGAGGTTGGAGGCGCAGGGACTACGGTCGGCTGCGGGCGAGGGGGTGAAGCGACAAGGAGAAGGCCTTCTCGGAAGGCGGCGAGCAACTTTCTGCAACTTCGGGGGAGGCTCGGAAAACACTGATCAGAAGGCCCGGGGCCTTCCGAGCCTTCCGAGGAGGCCTTCTCTCGGCTACACGCAGGAGTGACCCCAGGCAGGAGTGGCCTCGGGTGCGCGGGGGAGCGGGGGACGCGGGGTGGCCAAGCACGAGCGCGCGAGACACTGCCGTCGCACCGCACTCGGCGATCGGGGGGTGCTCAGTGGGCGCGCGCCAGAGGCCACTCCGGCGGAAGGTCACCCTTGCGTGGAGTCGATTCTCCTCCTCTAGCAGACGACGACGACGACCACCACCACCACCACGATGACGACGACGACGACGGCGGCGACGACGACGAAGCCAGAATAGCGCAACGCCTCCCGTCGCGATTCTTTCATGACTCGCGCCGCCGACCTGCTTAGAATAAGAAAGCACGCAATAGACATGTACACTTCTGGCGCTCCGCGCTGATTTCGTGGATCTCTGCGCTGAACCCTCCTCCGTGGCGCGCGGAGCGCGCCTGGGGCGGCGCTGGAGGCGCCGCCGGGGGGGGGGGGGGGGCCGGCGCAGAGAGCCACGAAATCCGCGCGGAGCGCCAAGAGTTTATATGTCTATGACGTACTTTCTTATTCGAAGCAGAACGGCGGCGAGAGTATGGCGTGTTCTCTTGTTCGATTCTCGCTTCCCCCCTGGGCTTGCCGCCGAAGCCTCCTCGGCAAGCCGTGTGCGTGCGCAGCCCCCAGCGGTCGGTCGCGGGCGGACGGACGGCGGGGCCGGGCCCGGGAGGGCGGGCGGGGCGGAGAGGAGGGCCGGGAGAGATGGCGGCAGGGGCGGATGCGCACGCACGCACCCACGCACACGCACACACGTACACGCACGCACGCACACACGCACACACGCACACACACATACACACAAACACACTCTCTCTCTCACACGCACACACACGCACACACACACACACACGCGGACACACACACACACGCACTCACGCGCACACGCACACACACACACTCACGAACACGCACACGAACACGCATACGCACACGCACACACACACATACACACAAACACACACACTCACACACACACACGCACACACACACTCACACTCACACTCACACACACACGCACATACACACAGACAACCACACACATGCACACACGCACACGCACACGCACACGCACACGCACACGCACACACACAATGTTGGCGTCGCAGCCCCGCACGCAGCGACAGGGCGTCCAAAATCGGAGAAGAGAACGCGCGCGCGACTAGCGCGCACGAACACACACACACACACACACACACACACGCGCGCACGCACGCACGCACACAACACACACACACGCACGCACGCACGCACGCACGCACGCACACACACACACACACACACACACACACACACACACACACACACACACTTTTTTGGCGTCGCGGCCCTGCGCGCGGCGATAGGGCGGAGAAGGTCGTAAAGCAGAGAACGCGCGTGCGCGACAAGGAACGCCCGAGCTCACAAAGACCGCTTAGGGTCCCGCAACGGCCGATAACCCTAAGCCATCCGGGCGTGGATGACGGGGGAAGCGGTGGAAGGACGAGACTCGCACACGCACACACACACACACATTCACACAAACACATACGCACGCACACCCACACATAACCGCATCAAGCATTTAAGAAACCCCCCCCTCATCCGGTGAACGTATAACGCATCCGGCACCCTGGAAGCGTTACCTCGGCACTGGAGGAGCCCGCAGAGAGCATTCCCTCAGCATTCCCAAGGACATGCGAGGGGCGCTTAGCATCTCCCCGGAGTCTCGGATGCTTGGGATTCCCGAGGCAATCCTTTGCTGGTCCGTGAAATGTCCTAGGAAATGCACAGCATATCCAAAGGCATCCCCAAGGATTTCTTCTTGCGCGTCGCGCGGCGCGCGACGCGCCACGGAATTTTATTGTTTGATCGATGCGAGGTGCTAAAGATATCGCTCTGCGAAAACGACCCCCTGAAAAGATTAAATCTTGGTGCGGTGCTGACGATAACCCCGGAGGGGTTCTTAAAGGCTTGCCGGGGTTACACACATACTGTTTCCTCAGGCGCGCCTGTGGGTTGCAAACGATGGTCCAATCACTATTGCACACACACACACACACTGCTCACGTGTCTGCCGTCGAGCGGCAACTCCGAAAATGACTCGTGTCGTATCATGCGTCGGTGATCACATCAGCCATGTATCTGGACCTCAATGGCGGCACTGCTCCATCCAATCAAGCCGTCGCCTGGCTTTGAGCCAACCGTGCTCTTGACCAGGAGCGCAAACTTCGGAAAGCCACCTGCAGGTTCTAAGCCGCTCGAGGCGAAAATCTCTTATGCCCCACCGCCTCACTTTGCTTTGAGGCAGAAGCGCGGATACGGCACCTGACGCAGATTATCCCCTCTCCCTCCCCCCCTTGGTTCTCCTCGGATTTCTCCTCCTCTGGCTGTTGACGCCGGTGATGCTTTCGCCGTTCCTGCTGCTCCTGCTGCTGCTCGTCCTCCTCAAGTCCTGCGCAGCACGCAGTCCAGGGATAGCCAGCCAAAGCACGAGACTAGACAGGCCGTGTACAATAGCCAAAACGACCAAGCGACTAACACCAACGAACCAACCAGACCAGACAAATCAGACCAGACCAGGCGAACTAGGTGCACGACTCGACTAACCAGACCAAACCAACCGAACCAGACCGAGGTCAGCCGAGCGAACCAACCGAGGAGGAACCTGCGGGGCCACACCAATGAGACGTACAAACCGAGGTCGGATCCGAAAGAACTCTGCCGACCGGACCAACCAGACCAACTGGACGAACCAGAACAACCAGACCAGAACCAGTGGAGCAACCACGACAGTCAAAGCAGGCCAACCAACCAGACCAACCATACATAAGAAAAGGCAGCCCACACCAGCCATGCCAAACATATCAGCCAAGCGAGTCGGACCGACAAAGCAAACCGAGCCAGACCAACCGAACCAATCGGACATGCCAAAGCAAACCAAACAGACCAACCAGGTGAAATACTCGACCAGACAAGACCGGCCAGACCAGGCCAACCAAGACCAGCCAACGAACTCAAGATTCGAACATGCCGAAAAAAGGGCAATACAACAAAAGCTGCAGCGCCAGAGCAGCTGGCTTGCTGTGGTCGCGGTTGGCGCTGCGAGCTTCGCACCTCCCTGGGCCTCCAAAGCTGCAACGCAAAGAAATAAGCATGTCGAATGAGCATGCTTTTTGCTGTGGATGAGTCGAAAATGCACAGGCCAGACCAACCAGACCAGCCACCAAGACCACGCGGACCAAGCAGACCAGCCAGACCAGCCAGGTAGACCAGCCAGGCCAGCCAGGTAGACAAACCAGACCATCCAGGCCAGCCAGCCGTTCAGACCAGCGAAACCCCGACCGGACTGAGCGGGCCAACCTGCCCAGCAAAACTGCAGTGCAGTCGAAACTGCACCACTGAAAACGGCAATACGAAAAAAAAATGCAATGCGACAACCTACTATTCTGCTGTGGTCGTGGCTGGGGCCGCGCGCTTCGCACCCCTCTGGACCTCCAAGGATGCAATGCGAAGACACGTCACCGCAGGAAAAACTGCACTGCAGAAAAACATCTGCAATGCAAGAGTACGGGTTTGCTGTGGTCGTGGTTGGCGCTGCGCGCGTCGCACCTCCCTGGACCTCCACAGCTGCAAGGCAAAAACAGATGCAATCCGAAAAGGCATGTTATTACTGCAACTAAGTCGCAAATGCGCAGACCAGACTCACCAGACCAGCCACCAAGACCACCCGGGCCAAGCGAACCAGACCAGCCAGGTAGACCAGCCAGACCAACCAGACCAGCCAGCCGTTCAGACCAGCGAAGCCCAGAGCAGACTAAGCAGATCTGCTGACCAACAAAACTGCAATGCGATCTAGAGTGCAATGCAGAACAAGTGCGACGCAGCAATACATGCAATGCAAAACTCTGATGTGCTTTGGTCGTGGCTGGGGCCGCGTGCTTCGCACCTCCCCAGACCTAGAAAGCTGCAGCGTAAAGAAACAGCAATGCAGAAAAGACTGCAGTGCGAACAAAAACGTCTGTGCAAAAAAAACTGGTTTGCTGTGGTCGTGGTCGGCACTGCGCGCTTCGCACCTCCCTATCTCAAAAGCTGCAATGCCAGTAAACAGACCAGCATACCAACCAGACCAGACAGCCGTTCAGACCAGCGAAGCCCGCACTAGACTAAGCACTTCGACCTGACCAACACAAAAAAACAATGCAACAACATCTGCAATGCGGAAGCAACTGCAATGCAAAAGGCTGGTTTGCCGTGGTCGTGGCCAGGGCTGAGCGCGTCGCACCTCGCTGGACATCAAACCTGCAACGGAACAGCAAACAAAACTGCAACGCACAAAAAAACTGCACTGCAAACAGACAACAATTTGCTTGTGGACGTGACTGGGGTTGCGCGCTTCGCTCTGCCCCTGAACCCCAAAAACTGCCATGCAGAAAACTGCAGCGCATAAAATATGACATCCTTTAAGGTAGCTGGAATTCAACACAGCTGGCTTGCCGCGGAGGCGACTGGCGCTGTGCGCCTCGCGCCCCTCTGGACCCCCAGGACTGCAGCACGACACAACGCCTGCTCCG